ACTTTAAAGTTATTGAGCTCCACTACGACATCCCATCACATCAACACTTCAGCCAAAAAGTTGTAGCAGCACTTTATGAAAAAAACTGTTCAACAAGCCCTGGACCAGATTAAAGCTGTGCCCTGATGATGATGATGACCGAGAGAATATTTAGCCACCTCATAACAAATGATGACCGTTCAAGAAGAGGTATTGCTATTTTTATTATTATGATCTAATTAACTTTTTTATTTAAAATTATAATCTTATTAACTCATTTTTTTAACCTCTTTGTGTTTTATTTCCAGTCTGGGACAGAGATAGCAGCTGAGTCTTCTTCCTCTTCAGGGAAATCAGAGATCACCTCCAGCCAAGAAGTCTGTGATGACTGAACTTTTCCAGGGACCTGTCCCACCTGTGGGAGCAGGTCCAAGAGGTTGTGATGAGGCCAAATACAGCCACACTGCAACATGATCAAAGCTCTACCTCTTTATTCCTGCTACTGTTAGTGAGCAGTTTTCTCCACAGCTGGAGATATTCACTGCAACTAGATCTGTGATTCTGACAGAAAATGTGGACAAGTTGGTCTTTTTGTCCAAAAACTTTAAACTTGATTGGTTAGATTGTAAACAGTCTGTTGCTGCTTATTGTTCTGGTTCTGACTGTTATTGTATTTATTAAGATTTTTATTATTGTTAGTATAGTTTATTTATTGGAAAGAGTGCCATTTATTTAAAATATCATCCAAATGGGTCGCTTTTATTTATTTTATACAAACGTATTGTTTACTTGGCATATTTTCAAAATAAACATTTTGTAAGTCTTTATTTTCTTTTTTTGTACTGAAAATTAACCGAACCGAGACCTCCCTGCAACTGAACTGAACCGAAATGTGATTTTAGCGTACCGTTACACCCCTACTTTGGATTTATCATGACATGGGACACCTCTCAGCCGAAGTGTGTAACTTGTGGTGAGAAGTTAGCTAATGACAGCATGAAGACTAACAAACTCAGACGACACTAAAAGACTTCACACCATGAAACTATTGGTGAAAGTCGGGAATACTTTCAGAGGAAAAAGCAGTTGGCACTGTCAAAAAGGTCCAATGACATCAGAAAAGCCTTTGAAAGAGCAGGTAGTGATTTGCACAGAGAGACAGAAGCATCTTTTGAGTGTTCCCTTTTAATCACTAAGGCTGAAAAGCTGCACAATATTGGAGAACAACTTCTGAAACCCGCCTGCCTGAAAATTGTGGAGTTGATGTGTGACAGGGCTCATGCAGTGGATAAAGAGAAAACTGTCCCACTCCCTAACACTGTCAGTGTCAAGGACAGAATATAGACAAAATGGCTGAAAATTGCAAAAATCAGCTGCGTGATAGGATCAGGAAGATATCTTCACAAAACTACTATTTTTATTTTTTTAAGACTGTTTTTAAAATTACTCTGTTAGTTTTTAGAGAAAAGTTATTTGAGTAATTCTCAAAACTGTGTTCTTGTTGGGGATGCACCGATCCACATTTTTTTAAACTTCCAATCTGATCCCGATACCGATACTATTCCGATACCATCATTATTGATTTTCTAAAAGGCTGTAATAATCTCCTCTCTACAGGCAAGTACAAGTTGTATAAAGATATGCATGCATGTACAAAAAGGCAACTTGAGGTAAGTTTTATTAATGTTGCATAAGTTTCAGTTAGAATTAAATCCTGCTAACACAAAACATGTTTTTTATTCCTAGCTTTAAAGTCAGTGTCAGAGAGTTTTATTGTCATACACACCACATGTGGTACATGTGGTGGAACAAGATTATTATGTCCACAGGGTCCCAGTTACATCCCAAAATAAATAAAATGTAAAAGAAAAACAGCAATAAGATCTAAAATATGAACTAAGAAAAACAACTAAATGTACACTAAGCACTAATAGCATAAAAACAATACGCTGAAGTGGATATTAAAGTGATGAAATGGGTTCAAACATCTGCTAAGTTCATGATGAAAACCAACACAGACATGTTCCTGCTTTTAGTATTTTACATCACTTTATAATGTAGCTGTTTTTATTTCTTTTTTAAAATATAATTTTCGTGTATTATTCAACTCGTATGTTTTTTTATGATTATCTACTGTTGTACTGATAAATATCTCCTGGAGGGTAAACATAAACATAAAGCAAATATTCAATCAAGCTGCGAAGCAGACCGTCTGATTTCAGTCATCCGCGCTCAGTCTGTCTCTCCTTCGAGACGGGCAGACTGAACGCGGCTGACCTAAATCAGACTGGCTGCTTTGGACTGAACGAGAGGAACACACCACTGAAGCCACGGAGCTCGGACATCCAACATAAAACTAACTTTACCACAGTGCCTGGCTAAACAATCCTCGTGCTCTTTAATGTGGTGCTTTTTCAAATGTTTATTAAGTTCGATGTATTGTAGGTCGCGAAGGAGCTTCCTCCTCTTGGTACAGTGGCTCTGCATTGCACTGCATTGACATTGCACGTTGCTGTCTTGCGGTGTTTAGTGTAAAATACTTCCACACAGCAGACATGTTACGATGAAAAGTTGGTTAGACGTTAGCAACAGTACTGCTCATTCCTCAGTATTTACTCGCATTTTAGCTGGCTGCAAACTATGAAATGGATTTCCTGA